CGAGCTACACTATCCGGTAATGCCCCCACGGTAAGGTGTTCGTCGATTCCGGTACGACGTATCGTTTGTCGTCGTACGGACTCAGAGCGATCTTCTTCTCCGACACCGTGTACACCCGGTGTAACTTGGATCGTATGCACGCTTGCCTGCGCGTCATTTCGATGTCATCCTTCAGGCACCGGGTGTAATCCTCGAACGATATCGTTCGCGCTACGACGCTGCTCTTCACTCCCTTCGCCTTCTTCGTGTCCCTCTTTCCGTCGACGCGCAGAGCGTACATCTTCGCTCTGAGTCCGACGAACTCGGTCATGATGGCGCCGTTGTTCTCGTCCTTCATGAGAGCGGGCACCTTCTTGTTCGCGAGGGACATACCGTACGCGTTGTTCGCGGGATAGTCGCTCGTGTCGAATCTGTCTATGTCGCGTTTCATGGTTTCGTACACGTCGTCGCACTCTACACGGTAGATCAGACTGTCCGTGTCGGTGTACATGATCTCGCATCTATCGCGAAACAGCGGCGTCATGTAGTCGTGGTGAAACTCGTACAGGCACGTTTTCGAAATGTCCAGGATGCACATACCCACGTAGATAGGCTTGTCGAATTTCACCTCGAGTTTACGCAATTCGACCGCTATCAGGTTCTCCGCGAAGACGCTGCGGCTGTGGAAGTTAGGTTTCGCGATCAACGCCTCAGCGCCGTATCGTCCTTCCCACGCCGTCACCAGTTTAACGTCGACGCGTTCGCGCACGTTCTCCATCGTCTTGCCGAACACCGCGTTGTTCATCAGTTTGTACAAGTTTTTCTCGAAATCGTTTTTCGCGCGCGTTCGAAACTGCGTGTTCAATTCGATGTAATCGCGGAGCCAGGCGGATTGCGCGAATCGCAACACTCGATGGATCTTCGTTACGCGAAGACCGTGACGCGTGCACTGTTGGAGGTTGCGGTAGTGGACGACGTACCGCTGCTTGTCGCTTACCGTCGCGAGAAGCTTGTCGTCCCGCTTGCCGGGCGGTTTCTCTCGCGTCGGGCAGAACGGCAGGTCGGCGTGCGCGTCGTGAAGATGTTGCGGATACTCCAAGTCCACCTCGAGGATGTACCCGGTGGGTGAATCGAGCGCGACGGTAGTAAAGTCAAAATTGTGCGCGTCGTCGACCCATTGAAAGTCACCGTAGGGTAACGGTTGGCACATCGCCCAGCCGTACAGGTTGTTCACGTCGTAATACACGAGGTACGACGACGGTTCCGACGGGTCGTACGACCTCATGTACTTGTTATTAGCCCGCGCGTATCTGCCGGAACACTGGCTGAGACCGCCGCGTATACCGCGCTCGACGAACATCACCATGTCTATGTCCGTGAGCAGCTCGAACTTCACGCGCGTGTGCTTGAGCATCGCGTCCCACGTGAAACCGGGCAGGGTGTAGTAGTGCGCGGGATCGAGTCCGTAGCTCGCGACGCAACTGTCTCGAAAGTTCTCAAACACATCGGCCAACAACAGGACGTCAGTTTTTAGGTAGAGATCACTGTACTCGCCGAGCGTTCGCACGGCGAACCGCTGCCACACGTTCTCGGCGTGCGCGTAATCGCTCTCGGACACCGTATCGCCCGTCAGCGAGCTGTGGAACGATTCGCGCGGCGGCAAGCGCGTATCGTTCAGTCTCTCCACGCTGTCCACGTACTCGTAGGGAAACACCCCTTTACGAGTGAGCAGATTAAAGTCTTGGTCCGATAGAGCGGAAAATTCGGAACGCACGATTTTCAGTTTGTCCTTGTCGAGATACGACGCCAATTTGTCCAGACCCGCACTCAGAAACTTATAGGAGTCTATGAATCGTAGTTTCACGCACTTTCGCGAGTCTTTGTCACTGGTGTCTTTGACGCGTTTCGTGAAGGAGATGTACTTCTCCTTGGTCAGGGGAAGTAGCTCCACCTGTCCCTGGAATCGCGTCGCTATCTCCTGTACGATGAAGTGCGCGTCGTACCCCGACAGGTTGTGAAACACAACCGGAACGAATGGAGAGTCCTTGTAGTTGACGTTGCATGTGTGCCGGACCGCGGTATCGTCCGGTGAGGTGGCAGTGGTCGCGCACCCGCTCGTCACCCGGATCGAACGGCCTCTCGCAGATGTGGCAGTGCGTCGCGCTGTCGAATCGCCGCCAGTCGTCGCGCGTAAGTCCATGGGCAGGTTGGTCGTCAGCGCGTTCTTCACGCGATGCGCCAGAGCCTCTAGCTGGCTCGCGAACCAACTGACGCAGTCGTCGCCCCGCCGACACCTGTACTCGGACAAC